TGAGGCTGAGAACGGGCCCCACGGGCTGGCAGGTGGCCGAACTGGCCCCACCCAGGTGGATGCCTTCTCCCCGCCAGGCGCCCACTCTCCGGGGCGCAGACTGGACTTTGTCCCGGTGGCCCTGGAAGGCGGGGCAGGATGAGAGGCGGGTTTCCGGGAGGCTGGGGTGGTGGCCGGCGGAGCGGACTGAGTGGCCGGGGGACACGCCGGGGACAGGCTCGGGGAGTCAGTGGGTCAGAGTTCGGGCTGGCCGAGGGAGATCGAGCAGAAAGATTGGGCGACGTCAGAGGTTCGCCAGGAATGCGGGCCGGGCGGTCCCGCCGATTCCAAGGCTGCCGGCTCTGTCTCCTTGGCCATAACCCGTCCCCGCCCCCGAGCCTTCTCTGCGGGGGTCCCCACCTCCGGGGCTGCTGTCGCACGTGCTCGTGGAGCCCCCACGGTGCGCCGGGCGCTGCTCTCACACTTCTGCACGTATGAACCCATCCAGCCTGTAAGAACCCCCGAAGGCGGGGCCTCCGTCATACCCATTTCACAGATGAGGAAACTGAGGCAGCAGTGCGCACACGGCCTGTGCCAGGTCACAGCCTAGAAGGGGTGCAGCTGAGGTTTGAACCCCAGGGGCCACGCAGAATCCCCCTTGTTCGCTGCCGGCCACTAATTCAGGTTTGCTCCTCCCCTCCCCGCCCGTCGGGCAGGCCCGGGGGTTTGCCGATTTTTTTTTCCTTTTAATATTTTATCGACGGATAACTGAATGCAGAATAGGACGCGGATCCTACGGATGGAACTTGATGGATTTTCAGAGTGAATGCGGCGTGAAACCGAACGTGACGGGCAGCCCCACTCACACCCCGTCCCAGGCACTGCCCCTCTCTACGCTTTACGAGCTGTGCCCTTTATCTGTTAAAAATTGGCAGGCGCATGCCAACACGTGTGTTTTTTTGTTATAGACTGTCCTCAGGAGCCCACCGGGAGGTGGAAAGAACGGCTGACCCGAGGGTCATTGCTGTTGGGGGGATATCAGACCATATTTCTAATAGCTATCTTGAAAATTTCAAAAAAAAAGATTTGGCTGACTTGTGGTCCCACCAGAACATAAGATTGTCGTCGTTTTTATCCGTTACGTAGCTGACAGCGAGCTCACACCAGAGATAAGCTGTACCCGCTGCCTTTCTCTTACTGCTCACTTGGGCCTGAGTTACGGGCAACGTGCTCCATCTGCCACTGTCTACAGGAGCACTCTGGCCATGCGCTCATTTCCTGAGGGTTAGTTCAGTTAAAACTAGATAAGGCTGTTTCTCCGGCCACATAACCAGGTCCACGTAAACTGGACCTTAGAGACCACAGGCTCGGTGATTTCCAGAGCCAGGCAGCCTGGCTTCCAATCCAGCTGTGCCCCTTACGAGCTGTGTGACCCTAGGCTACTCACATAACCTCTCTGTGCCTTGTGTCAGAAATGGCGCTAACCCCAACGTTACCGATTGTCGTGCAAATGTCTCAGCTTGCGCTGTTTAACGGAAACATAACACGAGGCGGCGCATACGTCAGTTAAAATTTCCTAGCAGCCACGTCAACAAAACAGGTGAAGTTAATTCTACTAATACTTTTTTTTTTTATCCTCATGTATCCACCACGTCATCGATATCTAACGTTACTCCCGAGGCATCTTACATCTCTCTCTCTGGTGCTAATTCTTCAGAATCCGGTGTGTGATTTACCGGATCTCAGTTCAGACGCTACATTTCCAACAGTTAAACGTGATCCCACCAGAACAAAGTTGTGTTTAACGGGGAAAAAAAAAATATCTTACGCCGATTCAGCTCTTCCATCGCAATGAATTAAAAATGCGTAAAATGTAAGATTGAGTTTCTCTTCAGAGGCAGTAGCCAAATTTCTGGTGCTCGGGAGCCACGTGTGGCTGGGGGCTGCCATACAAGCTGCCACGGATTGGGGGCTTAAACATCAGACATTTCTCCTCTCCTGGTTCTGGAGGCTGGAAGTCCGTGATCAAGGTGGCGGCAGGGCAGGTTCCCGCTGAGGCCTCCTCCTTGGTGTGCAGACGGCCGTCTCCTCCCTGTGTCCCCACATGGTCCCCCTCTGTGCGTGTCTGTGTCCTCCTCTCCTCCTCTTACAAGGACACCAGTCCTATGGGATCAGGACCCACCCTAGTGACCTCATTTTGCCTCAATCCCCTCTTTAAAGACCCGTCTCCAAAGACAGTCACGTTCTGAGGTCCTGGGGCTCCGACATCTGAATTTGGGGGGAGACACAATTCACCCCATAACAGCCAGTTATGCCCCGTAGTAATCATACGGTCTAGAGAGAGAGGCATCTGGTCTTAGGCTTACAAACATTGGCGCCAAATAGCTGTTCCCCCAGACACCAGCCTCGCGATCTCAGTCAAGCTTGGCCTCCGAGGGGTGGAAAAAAAATCACACGCCTGATCCACAGCCCAGGTGTCGGCAAGCTTTTTCCGCAAAGGGCCCGAAAGTGAATGTTTTCAGCTTCAGAGTATTTTCGGTCGCTTACTCCCCTCTGCTGCTGCAGCTGGAAAGCCATATAGGTGATATGTAAATGAGTGGGCGGGGCTTCGTGCCGATAAAACTTTATTTACAAAAACAGCCCCTGGGGTGTACTTGGGGACTCCCTGTGCGAGGCAGTTGTGGACCGTGTCATCAGAGCAGGCTTGACCAAAAACCTGAAGGAGGGTGGACGGTGAGCCGAGGGCATCCCTGGGGGAGACAGTGTTCCAGGCAGAGGGAACAGCTAGTGCAAAGGCCCTGGGGCAGGACTGCACCTGGTGAGTTTGAAGAACAGCAGGAAGGCCAGGGTGGCACATAGTAGGTCTTCAATTAAGAGGCCCCACTAGATTGTATATTATATATACACGTGCCCGCTTGATTGCCATGTATAGCATATACGATATTATTAATTAAGACACTGGACTGTCTACTCCAAGAGGGAAGAATCTGTTTCTTCCTTTTTCTATTTTTTTCTGTTTTTTTCCTCTGTCTGTCTCGCTGTGTTCGGTGGCCTGCACGACCTGCCCCGTCCCCTCCCCGCCCTCCCTCCTCCCTCTCTCCCCCTCGCTCCCTCTGCTGCAGCCACACGGGCCCCCTCGCTCTTCCCCCAACACGCCAGGCCCAGTCCTGCCCCGGGACCTTTGCACCTGCTGTGCCTCTGCCTGGAACTCTCTGCTCTCAGATGACCCCGTGGGTCCCTCTCTTCCCATTTTTAGGTCCTGTTGAAATCCCTCTTCTGATCAAGGGCTTCTCAAACCACGTTGTCTGAAACTGCAAACACTCACCCCCGATTCTCGGTGTTCCTGGCGCTCCTTCCCTCCTAACGCTTCTGTGTGGTCTTTGTCACCAGCTGACATGCTGTGAATTTCCCGCACTTATTTGTTGATTCTCTGTCCCCCGCACTAGGAAGTCAGCTCCATTTTTTGGGTCTCTGCCATTTCTCCCTCCCGCTCGGCATTTCAACATGCCAGGCTGCTTCCATTTTCGAGAAAACCAGACAGCCACTTGCCTCCTTACATCCTTCCCCCAGCGCCGTGCCATCTCTGCCCCGCTCCCCGTGTCTGCTCGGTCACGTCCCCCTCGCGCCCCCACCCCCTGACACCGGCTCCCCCCATGCTCTCTCTACCTGCTGCCTGACCATCCTGGAATCATCAGCCTTGACCCCGGGGCCCCAGTGGACCACATGACATCTGCTCAAAATGATTTTTTGAAATGCTGAGTCACTTATGCAATGAAGTCTGTGATTTATTGGCAAAGGGACTTGATCATGAATCAGCTCTTGCTCCAGACCAGGAGCCCTCAGTGAGACAGACTGGACTGGGGAACTAGGGTGCTCCCGGAGGGCTCCCTGAGGTGGTGGTGTTGTACCCGAGAGCCGAATGATGAGATTAAGGTCACCCAGGCAAGAGTCTGGGGAGAAGGTGCTCCAAGCGGCCCGAACAGCGTGTGCAAAGGGCCTGAGGCGGGAACCAGCTTGGCGTTTTTTGAGAAATGGAGCGAAGAGGAAATACCCTCTTGGCAGCACCGTTGGGCATACAGCCGGCACTCAGTATGGTGAGTGCACCCTATTAATAACGCTACCTGTATCAGTTAGCTATTGCTGCGTAACAAGCAGACCTTCGTGGCTTAAAATCAACAAGCATTTATTATCCCACCACGCAGTTTCTGAGCATCAGGAATCGGGCAGGTGAGCTAGGTGGTTCTGGCTTGGGGTCTCATGAGGTCACTGGCGTGGTCGGCCAGGGCTGCCTCATCGGAAGGCTCGACCGGGGCTGGAGTCCCTGGGAGTCCGAGGTCGCTCCCTCGTGTGGCCGGTGATGGGAGGCCTCAGCCCCTCCCCACGTGGGCCTCCCCACAGCACGGCCGACCCTGCCAGAGTGACAGAGAAAGTCACCAAGAAGAAAGATGGTGTCTTTCATAATGTCACATGGGACACCGGTCATTTCTGCCGTATTCCGTCAGCCCCATAGATCGACCCTGGCACGCTGTTGGAAGGAATGCCCCAAAGGCCGTGAATACCAGGATGTGGGGTCACAGGGGGGCCATCGAGGAGGCTGACCATCTCCCTCGCAAACACGTATTGAACGCCTACTGGCCCCTGTCACCGGGCTCAGAACTTTCCATATGTTAACGCAACACAATTCCTTGAAAAAAATCCCATAAGTGTGCTTATTATTAGCCTAATAGGCAGTGTAGCCTAGTGATCAGACACACAGCCCCTGGAGCCAGGCTGCTCGGGTTCAAACCCCAGCTCTGTCACTCCCTGCTGTGTGACTTTGGGTAAGTGGCTTCACCTCTCTGTTCACTTTCTTCATCTGTACATGGGGAAAAGAGCGTCTATCTCTTGTGTGACCCCGGCTGTCCTCTTGCAGAGGAGGAAAGGGAGGCTGAGGGAGGTGACACGCCTTCCCCAGGTCACCCTGAGAGGCAGTGGTAACCGTTTCTTTCCTGCTCCCCGCAGGTCCGCCCTGGTGGCCCCGCGTGAGCGGGGAGGAGGCGCCGGGCGTGCAGGAGGGCGGGCGGCGTGGAACATGCCTCCGCCACCCAGGGCTGCTCCCGCCGGAGGCCGCCCCCACCCGCGCCCATGGCCCGCCCGGGCCCGTCGCTCGCCGGCGCCTTCGACCTTCTAGGCGCGGCGGGCCAGGACAAGCTCTTGTACCTCAAACACAAGCTGAAGGCCTCGCGCCCGGGCTGCCGGGGCGCCGACCTGCTGCGCGCCATGGTGCTCCTGCGGCTGGGCCAGGAGACCGAGGCCCGGATCGCCCTGGAGGCCATGAAGGGGGACGCGGTGGCCCAGCTGGTGGCCCGCCGGTGGGCCGGTGTGGACGGCGCCGAGGCCCCGGAGGACCCCCCAGACCTGTCCTGGGCCGTCGCCCGGCTGTACCATCTGCTCTCTGAGGAGGAGCTGTGCCCGGAGCCTCTGCGGGACGTGGCGTACCGGGCAGCCCTCCACGCCTTCACCTCGAGGGCCGACCACCGGCTCGGGGAGCTCCAGGACGAGGCCCGGGACCGGTGCGGGTGGGACATCACTGGGGCCCCGGGGGACTTTGCGCCCCTCCACTCGGATCTGGGCTGCCTCCCGCCGTCATCGGCGTCGCCCTCCAGGACCCGCAGCCTCCCGCAGCCCATCGAGAGCCTGTCCGCCTGGAGCCGAGGCTGTTCCCTGAGGTCCACCGGCAGCCCGGCCTCCCTGGCCAGCGACTTGGAAATTAGCCAGTCGCCCACCCTGCGCGTCCTCAGCGGCCACCGCGGCCCCCACGGGCCCAGCAAGCTGTGCGAGGAGCCCCGGGCCAGCCCGGCGCCCGAGCCTGCCCCCGTGGGCTGCCAGGAGCCCGAGGAGATGAGCTGGCCCCCGTCGGGGGACAGCGGGAGCCCCCCGGTGCTGCCAAGGGACCCAGGCCCTGAGGTGGCCCCGGATGCACCTGCTGGTCTGGCCGACCCCCCCGAAGCTCTGGAAACCAGCACCCACTACCCTGTGGAATGCACAGAAGTGTCAGCAGCACCCCCATCTCTCCCGTCGCCCTCCGTCAAGGACCAGACGCCACCCCAGCTTCCTGCAGAAGACACCCCTTCTCCGCCCGCCCAGCCGTGCCCACCGACTCCCTCGGGCCCCACGACGTCTCCTCCCGGTCCTGCTCCATGCACCCCGCGGTTGGCCCACCCGGCCCCCGTGCCCCTGGGCGCCACCCCTCCAGAGACGGAGTCGTCGGAGCAGAAGTTCTATAACTTCGTGGTGCTGCACGCCGGGGCCGACGAGCTCATCGCCCTGCGCGTCCGGGAGAGGCTGGAGGCCCTGGGCGTGCCCGACGGGGCCACCTTCTGCGAGGACTTCCAGGTGCCCGGGCGCGGGGCACTGCGCTGCCTGCAGGATGCCATCGACCACTCGGCCTTCACCATCCTGCTGCTCACCGCCAACTTCGACTGCCGCCTGAGCGTGCACCAGGTCAGCCAGGCGCTGATGAGCAGCCTGACGCGGCACGGCTGGCAGGACTGCGTGATCCCCTTCCTGCCCCTGGAGAGCTCCCCGGCCCAGCTCAGCCCCGACACGGCCGGCCTGCTCACCGGCCTGGTGTGGCTGGACGAGCACTCCCGCATCTTCCCCAGGAAGGTGGCCAGCACCTTCAGGGCCCAGCAGCTGCGGGCGCGCAGGGCCAGCTGGAGGAAGGAGCAGGGGGCTCGGGCCCTGCGCGCGCAGAGCCAGCACCTAGAGGGTGAGCGGCGGCAGGGGGCGGCGTGGAGTGCCGCCTACTCTGCCTACCTGCAGAGCTACCTGGCCTGGCAGGCGCAGATGGGGCAGCTGCAGGCGGCCTTCGGGAGCCACCTGTCGCTCGGGACTCAGGGGCCCTATGGGGGCCAGGTGCCCCTGGGAGGCCAGCCACCCTTTCCCACCTGGCCGGGCCTCCAGCCACCAGCCGTGCCTCCGTGGCTGGCGGGCACCCCCCCACCAGCCTTCTCGCAGCCCCCCGCCTTCCAGCAGCCCCCCACGTTGCCACAGGCCCCCGCCTTCCCTCAGCCCCCTACCTTCTCTCAGCCCCCCACCTTCCCACAGGCCCCCCCTGCGACCCCCCAGAGCCCTGGGCTGCAGCCCCTCATCATCCACCACGCCCAAATGGTACAGCTGGGACTGAACAATCACATGTGGAACCAGAGAGGCGCCCAGGCGCCCGAGGACCAGCCGCAGGAAGGGGAATGACCTGTTGACCGGGGACCCCTGGCCCGCTGGGGCTGGACCCTAGAGCCCCCCTCCCTGTCCAGGGGGCGCAGTGCCACGTGGGGCCGTCTGCTCCTTCCAGGACATTGCCTGCAAGACCTTCATCTCTCAGGAAATAGTGCAAAACGGGCCCGATGACTTTCCGGGGGGACCAGAATGGGATGTGGGGTTCCCAGATTCTCTCTGCCTGGATGGTGGTGGTGGGGAAGGGGCTGGGTGATAGCGGGACGGTGTTTTAATTATAATAAATATTTATTGACTGTCTCTCGAGCGCTGCTGTCTCCTGGGAGACCTCTGCCTGGCGATGTGTTTGGATAAAGACGGGGCTACTGCTCCCCAAAAAAAAGAATCGGAAAGGACGAACTCGCTTCCCCGCCTGAAAGGCATGAGCCGGAAGTTGTGCACGTGTGCTCTCATTTCATTGGCCAGAAGTAGTCACGTGGTCCCTCTCTGGCTGCAAGGGAAGCTGGGAAATGTAGTTTTCTGCTGGGCTATGTGCTCTGCTAAAAGTCTTATTTCTAATGTGCTACAGAAGGTGGAGAGAAAAGACATTTTTAATGGGTGACATGTGGCAGTTTCGGCTGCAGCCCTCTCTGGGGCGGGGGCGGGGGTCTGCCTTGATACCCCCACCAAGGCTAGGCTCAGATCCCACTGTGCGATCTTGAGCAAATGCCTTCTCCTCTCTGAGCCTCTGCTTTCTCATCTGAGAAGTGGGTTTATGACGCCTGTGTTTCAAGGCCATCAGCGCATCCTGTGCTATAAACCCCAGGAGCAGCATAAGTGCTCACGACCTGTGCGTGCTCGGCACAGGGGTGATGGGTCTTTTTTAGGGGTACAGACCTTTGGAGAATAAGAAGAGAATTGACATTTGTCAGCACTCACCATTTATCGATTCTGGAGGCTTCTTTAGCTAAACATATTTGAATCCTCAAAAATGGCCCCCCAGGTGGAAGCGTCTCTTGTTGGGCCCATTTTACAGATGAGGAAAACCGAGGCTCAAAGAGGTGAATCCTGGTCCCCAAAGTCACACAGATCAGAAGTGGGGACATTATAATTGAAGACACCCAACTTCCAAGGGAGGGATGAAGGGGGCTCAGGAGGGGCGACTTGGGGCCTGGGGAGCTGGGACGCTGCGAGCCCCTCCCTCCCAGTGATGGGCACCCTGATGTTCAATTTCCTCCACTGCCGGTGCCCAAGGGCGGGCCCGACGTGAGTCACCCAGGCCGTCACGCACCGCCTGCTATTTTAGTCGCTGACTCAGATTTTGTCAGCGCTGTGGTCCCGGCCCCCCGGCCAGGCTGAAATGAAACCTGGGGAGGAAGCCTCTGAGATTAGCTTCCGGGTGGGGCCGGGGAGGCTGGGGTGGCGGACACAGCCCGTGTCTGATCACTGAGGCCAGAGCCAGCTGCAAAGAACTGGATGGTCGCAGTGGACCAGCCATTTGTCCGTTTGACACACATTTATTGATCAACTACTGTGTGCCAGGACTGCCCCGGGCAGCGGGGTGCCGAGGGGCGAAGACAGATGTGATCTGTCCCTTGCTCTCTTTCCGGGAGGCGGAAGGGAGGGAGCAGGGAACCAGTCATCAAATGAGGAAGCAGGATAATCTCAGAAAGTGAAGAGACTTTGGAAGAAATAAACAGGGCGAGGAGGTGGGGATGTCTCAGGAGGGAGAACTTTGGCCCAGGAGGCCAGGGAGGGCCTCTCTGAGGAGGTGTCGTGAGAGCCAAGACCTGGAGGATGAGAAGGTGCTGGGGTGATGGGGAGAGCTTGGGGAGGGGGGCGATCTGGGTGGAGAAACAGCTCGTGCAAAGGCCCTGGGGCAGGACCGGGCTGGGCGTGTTGGGGGAACAGCAAGGAGGCCCATGTGGCTGGAGCAGAGGGAACGAGGGGGATCGAGGGAGGAGGGGGGCGAGAGAGGGGAGACCTACATGTCCCTGTGCCACCCCGGATCGTTTTGAAAGCCCTGGCATGCTGGATGAGCCCATTACATCCTCCCAACTGCCCCAGGAGCTACACTGTCATTGTCCCCACTTTACAGATGAGGAAACCGAGGCCCAGAGAGGGGAAGTCACTTATCCAAGGTCACACAGCACATCAGTAGCCTTCGGGGCAGGAGAAGGAGCCGGGCGTCTCTAGTGGATTCTAGCCCATTTGGAGGCTGTGCGGCCTGGGAATTGATTGCCTCGGTTTTTTGATTCTTTGAAATACTCTTGTTCTTTTCGTTATTGTTAATTCGTGGTTTTCCACCACGCTGTGCCCACCCTGAGAGGCCGGCGATGGGTCAGTCTTGGTCAACGCTTGGGTGTTTTCAGAACCCAGCGTGGGGCATGGCACACAGGAGGTGCTCAATAAGTGAATCCTTTTGACGGATAATTATTGAGCACCTGCTGTGTGCGGGCCTGTGCCAGGCCCTGGGGACACAGACCTGTTTCCTGCCCCCATGGAGTTCACTAGCCAGTGAGTGGGGAGGGTGTGGATTCATCCATCCGTTGATCCAATCAACATTTATTGAGCTCCTACTGTATGCAGGCCCAAGACAACCTCGTTCTGTCTTCTCTGGGCACGGGGTCCAGTGCCAGAGACAGAGACAGTTAAGGTGTGATCAAGGCTGTAATAGGGGGCTGCAGGAGCGCACAGGGGACCCTTGGCCAGCCTGGGGGGATCAAGAGAAGCTTCTGGAAGGAGGAAGTAAGCTGAGACCTAAGGCACAAGTTGGAATGAGCCAGGGGCTAGGAACAGTGTTCTTGGCGGTGGGCACAGCATGGGCAAAGGCCCGGAGGACGGGGCGACTCCAGCGGGCCACAATTCCTGCCCCCCCAGCGCCCCCTGGTGGCCGCCCCCGCGGCCACGTGGGCCTGGGGTGTTTCCTGGGAAAGTCCCACGTCCACTCTCGGCCAAACAGCCTCAAAAACAAAAACAAACACAAAAAAAAAACAGGAGGAAAATTTTTGAAAAATTTCCCCTCTTGAAAAACTGAGAAACGTGCATCAGTCACAGAGGACTTATTTTCGGAGGTCCATAGCCTGTCCCTCTCGGAATGGGTCTCTCCGAGCCGGTTGGAGCTTTCACAAACGTCCTCCCGGCCCTGGGCCCAGAGAGGGCAGCGCTTTGCCTGGCGTCACACAGCACGCGCGCGGGCGGAACCGGGGGGCGCTGCGTTTGAACCTCGCAAATCTGCATGGTCAGGGCGGACCCTCTGCCTGTTGACTTCACTGCTGGGTCCCAGCGCCTGGCACACAGCAGGCGCTCCATAAATGAATTCGAATTACTGCCTACGTGTGCTTGCGTCTTTCAAGCAACCTCTTGATTCCGTGTCCCCTTCCCGCCTGCTGGTGACAGTCCCCGTCATTCATTTCGGCATCCGTTCGTTGAATGGTATGTATTGAGCACCTACTGTATGCCGGGGATGGTTTTGGATTCGGGGGCTCTGGTGCTGCCCTCCTGGGGCTCTCACCTCCGTGGAGGGAGTGGGTGGGTACAACCTGGGGGGTCCCGGTGTTGTGGGGGATGCGCTGTGGGGGCCTGGAGGGGCGGAAAGGGCACCCCGGGGGGAGGGACCAGCCCAGCAAAGGCTCCTGGTGGGGGAGCTTGGCGCCTGGAACCGCATGCTCTATCTTTGGGGACCCAGACTGGGCTGTGACGAGCGTCTGGGCCACCAGGGGGCGCCGTTGGACAGCGGGTGCAGCCTCTCCCCTTGCCCAGGGCTGGGGAGGGGGTTCCCGCTAGGAGAGCCCAGGGGGACAGGGACCCCCAAAGAGTGCGGAATTCCAGGCCACGTCACAGCCCCTTTTCTCCGCTGACAGGCTCCATAAATAGCAACAGTGACAGGGTCTTTGTTACAAATGTCCCCATTAAGTGGGTCTTTGGAAATCGTTCTGCTGGGGACCGGTGCCCAGAGAGGGCAGACACTCGCCTCAGGTCACACAGCAAGTCCTACCCCGCCCGGCCCTCCCGGTGCCTCCTCCCGGCGCTGAGGGCCCCTGGGCCGGGATCTTTTATTTTTAACCTGGTCCGTGGACAGGGTATTTTTATAGCTCTGGGAGGCGCCCAGAGTTTCCAATTTCCAAGGGACGCTACAAAAATTGCGCTCTTCCCAAGACAGGAGCTGCCTGACCTCTCAGGGGGGCCTGGCCCGGTGTCCTGTCTTCCCAGAAGCTTCTAGGGGTCCCTCAGACCCCCCCACCGGGCTCTGTGCCCGTCCCCTTCTGTGCTGGCACCTGGGCACCGAGGCTGGGGGTGGCGCCGGGTGCCTGTCCCCCTCCCTTGATGTCACACGGGGCCATCTGCTCTCTGGCACCCTCCCGCTGAGTCCCAAACACTGTCTACCCGTCTACCTCCGGATCTTTGCCCTGCGACTGTACTAAAAGCCACTGAATTGTACACTTTAAAAAGGTGACTTTTATCTCAGTAAAAAAAAATTGTAAAAAATACGACCGTGTCTTTATTTTTGAACGTGGGCCGTTTGGGGCTGGCTGTGCTTTGCTCCCTAAGACACGTTCAAATGAACACGCAACTATTTAAAAAGCTAAAAAGTTCATCCGTGTGTGATATGTACAAGTGAGCGTGTATACAGCAGGTGCCCTATAGTGACCACAGCTCTATTGCGCACTTCCTGTGTGCCAGGGCGTTTTTACGGGTAAACTCGTCTATTCCTTCGCGCAATGCTCCCACGGACCCCGTTTACAGATGAGGAAACTGAGGCTCAGGGAGGGGAAGGGATGTTCCCAAGGGCGCGGGGCCCCGTCCTAACCATCACCCCGCCCGGCCCAGTGAGCCCGCTCCGTCTCTGAGCGAGGGCTGGACCCAGACGCCCCCTCCCCGCGCGCGTTCCGTTCCGTTTTATTACATTTTTTCGTTCCATTTTATTACATTTTTTAAAGAACCAGCTTTTCATTTGCCTTTTTCTATTTCATCGATTTCCACTCTTTCCTTTTTCCCTGCTTCCATTTACTTTGGGTTTAGATTTTATTTTATTTATTTTTTCCCC